TTAATATAAAAACTATAAATAATGTGAAAACGTAAAAATATTACTTTTATGTTATTATTCTGCAATTAATTTTGTATGTACAGTTTTATATCATTATTCAGCAATGAATAAATGAATACTCACTTGTTAAAACTAAAATTAGAATTTACTACAATAATATACATACATAAATTTATAATAGAATAATAGCAGTCGAATTAGTATATGAATAGTCAAACGTTAATATTCAAATTAGAATTACTTTAATAATACACATATACAATATTCATTGCAGAATAATAACATAAACATAATTTTTTACGTTACACATTATTTACTGTTTTTATTTGAACTTTTATATATATATATATATATATATATATATATATATATATATATATATACACAGAGAGAGAGACGGGACTCAAAAATTGGTGAGGATTTTAGGGATAATTTTTTGGATTAAGATTGAAAAAATAAATGGTTAGGATGTTAATTTATTTTTCGTTAAAATCTCTCGAGATGTTATGGTATTTTGATGATTATTTGCCAGATTTTGATAATTTGTAGGGAAGGTTAATTGTTTAAAAATCTTAAATGAACCATATATATACACGGTAACACGTCTTTGTTATTCCAGTATTTTAGAAGTTATAACGAAAATATAGAGTTAAAGGAAAAGATGGACCTACTTGATAGTCGAGTGCCTTTTTAAGTGCTTCCACGATATTATTCATTGATGGACGTTCCTTTCGGTTTTTATTCAAACACTGATAAGCAATTTCTGTAAATACCTTCATTGATTCTGGTCTTATTTCATGTAGGAGATGATGACAGATAATATCATTTAGAGTTTGTTGTTGGTAAGAATTTTTCACCCACTCAATAAAATTTTCACCCTGTTTGTGATTACTAGGAATACATAACCTCCCACACAAAACCTCAAACAACACTACCCCAAACGAGTAAACGTCTGACTCCTTTGTTAGGCTCCCGGACTCTACATACAGCGGATCACAATACCCCAATGTGCCTACAGCACCGGTGTGAATAATCGAGATGTTCTTGTTCGCCGGAGCAAATTTAGAGAGACCAAAATCAGAGATCTTCGCATTCCATTCATTGTCGAGTAAGATGTTAGAACTTTTAACATCGCGATGAATTATTTTTTGTAGGGTACCATCAACGCCACCACTATGAAGGTACGCGAGTCCAGAAGCCGCCCCAATGGATATCGTAAGTCGTTGACGCCAATCTAGTTCTTTTTTGTTGAGATAAATGTCCAGACCACTTCTAGATGCGTACTCGTAAACGAGAATCCCCTCCATATTATCTTCGTAAAACCCTAAGAGTGATACGATGTTAGGATGCTTGTATTCAGAAAGCATGTAGATCTCATTCCATAACTCACGTGTTCCTTGCCCGTGTTTGCGATTTAATCGTTTGAAAGCAAGGGTTTGACTCCGTGAATGATGGATGAGTTCACCCTGATAGACTTCACCAAAACCACCTCCCCCAATACGACGGGCTTCTGAAAAGTTGTCAGTTGCTTTTTGTATATCTGCAAGGCGTATTCTAAGGTGATCATAATGGGTTTGGGAATGGACAGGCGTGGCTTTCATGATCAATGAAAAATGGGAAATAGGACTTGGACTTTCAAAGAGTTAAAGCTCAAGAGCATGAAAGAGATGATATTATTACGTCTATTATTGCTTTGCTCTATATACAACGTAAAGTCTTAGTCATCTCTCTCTCTCTCTCTCTCTCAATATATATATATATATATATATATATATATATATATGACAGGTTAACAGCTTGCAAAATCAGTATTATAAAAACCAGCATGTGATAAATGACAAGTTAACAGCTTGCAAAATGATTAATATAAAAACTAGTTGGTGGCTGTGGCTTTAACCTCAAAACCATTTTGACTTTGGTTAAAAAACTCAATTTGATGGGACTAAATAATTATATATTATACACTTGCACATTAATATCTACCGATTATTATTTTACGTCCTGTTAAGGCTAGACGGAATCACCGTGGGAGAGCGGGAGGCTTCCCGCACGACGGAACACCGGACCGTCGGTGCGGGAAGCGGTGGTGCAGGAACAGGAGAGGGGACGACTTGCCGCGTTCTCTCTCCGTCGATCATTGGCCGTAATTTTTTTTTTTTTTGAATTAGCCGTTGATTAAAGGTAAAAAAAAAATTTTTTACTAACGGATATATACATTAAAAGTCATTTATTTTAAATTTTTTTTTATTTTTTTAAACACCTATAAATACCCAACTATTTACCTTCAATCAACATTCAAACAAACCCTTTATTCTCTCTATTTTCTTCTCAAAAAATAAAAAAAATGAATCCCGACAATCAAACTCTAACTTCCGATCGAAGGAAAAAAAGTCATGGTTCGTGTTTAAACATCCCTACTCGAAACATTTTTGCTATCGATTCATCATCACAAGGAGTTTATCGCCCCCAACTCGATGCTCCCATTCAATCTCCACTACAATTTCAATACCAAAATGTTAGACAATATTACCCGATCCAGGTTCCAAATGTTACGTCGCAAATGTTTTCAAACTTTGTTGTTTTTCTGGATCAACAATCGCCAAATCAACCTCAAAACCAAACCCAACCTCAAACCCAAACCCAAACCCAACAACAATTCCAACTTGCCGATGAGTTGGATGACTCGGAAGAAGAAGAGATGGTTCCCGAAACTCAACCCACACCACCCTCACAACGACGCAAAGGAAAACAACAAGCGCGCAACGGTGTCGCACAACCGGGAAGACAAAAGCCCACAACATGGCTTCCACACGAAGAGTTAGTTTTGGTTAAGTTTGGGCTGACATTTTTGAAGATTCGATTCATGGAAACGCACAACCGGGAGACCATTTTTGGTCTCGCATTTTAGAACGGTTTCAAGAGGAGCTAGAAAAAGGTGACGACTACCGTACGAAACATCAATTGAATTCGAAGTTTCGAGAAATAGCAATGGGGTTTTAAAAATAAACGGGTTGTACAACAACCTAAATACCCAACGAAAAAGCGGCCAAGGCGACGAACAAACACTTCAAGAAGCTTTGCAATTTTACCTTGAGGAAGTCGAAAAACCATTCAAGTGGCACAATTGTTGGAAAATATTAGTCTGAAGTCCTAGGTGGAAAAAATACGAGCAATATTTTATTTTTGGAGTCCAACAATCAAAGCGAACGAAAACGGGCTCTAGTGGTTACACAACCTCCTCTGATGCTCGGGTCGGTCTAGATTTGAATCAGGACGACAAACTCGAGCTAGAAGAAATTGTCCGTCCAATGGGTAGGGATAAAGCAAAGAGGAAGGGAAAAGGGACTTCTTCGGGTGCATCGGATTTCAGCATGGACGTTGACGAAATGCGGAAAGTAACAGCGACGTTTGATCGATATAATCTTAATTTCTCCGAACGTTTGGCGTTTGACAAAGAAAAAGAAGAAGCAAGGAAGAAGGAGCGGGTGGAGAAACAAGAAATGGAGGATATGAAGTTTTTGATGGAAAACATCGATTATATCTCGGGACCGGCTCTCGAGCTCGTGATGAAAAAGAGAGAAAAAATTCTAAAAAAATATTTTTCGTAGGTCGTTGTTGGTTTGTTTGATTTTTTTTTTGTGTTTTTTTTAATTTTCTAGTTTTTTTAATTTTAGGTTTATTGTAATTTTTATTTTAATTAATGAAATGCATTTTCTTTTTAATTAAATTTTTTGGTTATTTTTAATTTAAAAATTATAAATCATAAAAATCAATTAATTTTATTTAAAAAAATAGTGAGGAAAGCCCTTCCCACCCATTCCTTGGGTTTTAGGTAAGAGAAAGAAAAGTGAGGAAAATGGTGATGTGGCCCACAAAAAGTGAGGGAAACACCCCTCTCATACCCTACACTCTAAGCAACCATTTTATCACACAATTTTTACATCTCTAATCCTCCTAGTTAAAGCTTATTTTCAATTTATATCCTTTTTTATTTTGAAAAATTATTTTCAATCCTTATTACTTCTCTCTC